AACAAACCAGAGCGAGTTCCCTTAAAAGGCTCAGCAAGCCCCTGAGCCACAAAGACCCCCTCCCACTCTCTGTGTACGCTGAGGAGCCGTGAAGCGTTCACACAAACGTATGGATAAGTAAATTGTGATGATACTGGTGCTAATGAAGGGTAAAATGCTGGTTGGATGGGAGCAGCAGTGGAATGTGGCGTGTGGGAAGGGATGGATGGCAGCCTGATGATTAATGCGTCAGAGAGCCGACGGGGGCCGGGCACAGCACCAGAGGCCTTGCCACCCCTGCTCGCTCATTTGGAAATCTCTCTCAGCAGAGGGAGAGGAAGAAAGGACTTCTGCCTCTGTGACTGAGTCTCAACGGTAATGGATAAACAAATACCCCTTTTTTCACTAGAATGCTGCTGGTGCAAGCCTCTTTCAGAGACTGTTACAACATAAGCTGTTCACAAATAAACAGCACATTTTAAAGGGGTCATATAATGCCATTTTTGTACAAGCTAATATGATTCTTTAGAGTCTAAATTAAAACTTTGTAATATACTTTAATTAAAAATTCTCATTAGTATTGTAAGAAAACACTTATTTTACCTGGTCAAAAACAGCTCTGTTTTCAGCACGCCGTTTCAGTGCATATGACTTTAAATGATAATGAGCTTTGCTCACCCCGCCTCTCTGTTCTGTGCGTACACCGTTTGTAACACAATAACCATAATGTGTTGTTCATTATAGACGTGGGATTATGAATTATATTGAGAACGTCGTACATAGAAAACATGCCGTAATGTACCCTGAGTGTAAACCTTAGACGCATTCATTGTGAAGCGTGCATCTAGCGATTTGCAAAGATTAATACAAATATTAAAGATTAATAAAACGTTACACTCACTTCAGTTATTTTGGAGGTTCAGCAGGAACACGAATAGTTGGTACCGGTCCAGGAGCAGCTTCTTAGCAAAACCAGCTTTATCCTGACCCTCCTCGTTTATAAAGCAGTCTGGTGTGTGAAATGATTCGCGCAAACATGAGAGCATTGACGTTGCTCGTGGGGAATATTCCCTTCGAAAACAAACTCAGCCACTGCGTCTTCAGCGGTTCGGATTTAGGAACATTAAAATGACTGCTGTGTTCGTTATTACACCCAAGAACAGAACACCACAATCGCTTAGACGCCATTCTGCTCATAGACAGTGCTCCAGTATATCAACAATGACCGCGCCGGTCCGCGCAGACTATGATTGACAGCTCACTCGCTCACGAGCGAGGGCGGGTCTGTGTTGAAACCCGGCTGTCAATCAACAATCGCGGGAGGGGCGTCCGACCGTGTGACGTCACACGGTCGAACGGCTTGATTTGAGACAGGGGAAAACATATAAGGAGATTAAAACAAAAACACTGGATGGATTTGTATCATTTTATGATGTTTTTGTACAGGCACTGCCAACACACATTTCAGTACAATCAACTTGTAAAAGTGCATGTACCATTATATGACCCCTTTAAGAGTTTTTGAAAAAATTTGAAACATCTAAAGTCATTTTAGTGTCTTTATATGTGAAGCTTGTTTTGATGCAACCATCAAAAGTCATAACAAAATTTTATATTTTAAGGTTTCTTAAATATCATAAGTATAAAAACGAAATATTATTATAAATATAAAAAATATATATATATATATGTTTACAAAAAATATTTCACTACTATTTTTTATATATTATAAATAATATTTACATGTATAAATGGTTTAATTCTAAATATTAAAATAGTAAATAAAATCCATGGTTATCAATTTTTGCATTAAATTTATCAAAAGTGACATTACACTGTAAAAGACATTTATAATATTACAAAATAATTTACGTTTTCTATATAAATGTTTTCTCTTCATAAGAAAAAAGAAACCTGATTTTTTTTTTCATGGTTTCCACAAAAATATTAAGCAGCACAACTGTTTTCAACATTAATAATAAAACAAAAAATCTTAAACACCAAATCAGCATATCAGAATGATTTCTGAAGGACCATGCGACACTGAAGACTGGAGTGATACTGAAAATTCAGCTTTAAACAAAGAACCAGGGAGAAAGAGATAAAAAGAGGGACCAAAAACAAAAGAAAGCAGGTAAGAGAAACAGCGGAAGAGCAGAGACCTGCCTTGCCCTCTCTCTCTCTTCCCAGCATTCCTCCTCTCAGCAAGATGGTGCACCGCCAGGACCTCCAGCACCTGTCCCTCACTCTGGAATCAGTGAGCTGTGCCGGAGTCACATGGCCTCTCATGGCCATCCATCTAAATACGACATCCATGAGCCGAGATTGCGCGTGCAATTCGGTGTGTATTTTGCATTGTCTCAGAGTGGGCGTCCCGATCTAGGAAACGTCTGTGCACACAAGGATAAGAATCCCCATGCAGGCGGTAGGAGATTAACTGCCCTCTCCCTCTCACATCTTCCTCCATCGATCGCCACAGATAAAAAAAAAAAAGTCCTCACACACATTCACTAAGATGACATCATAGGCAAAGAGGCAGAACAAGGACTCCTTGTGGCAGAGCCACGTCCTTGAGGTCAGAGGAGGCAAAGAGCACAGAGACAAAGAGAAAGATGAAGAGCTTTGCTTTCCCCAAGCAGCTAACATTAAAGTCAAATGAAATCACAATTGGAGAATTGACGCTTTGGGTTCATGCCGGTTAGTTTTGAGGTTGTGTATTTACAGCATACTCATAAAAATGACTAAATTAGCCTCACACATTTAAAATGAAGAGTTGTCTCTTCCAGGAAAATGGACTGAAAATATGGATGACTCATCCTGCACTGCATAGTCTGTTGTCCAATCAAATGCTCTACGAAATAAGAATTTCTCCCCCATAAATTATAAGCACCACCTGAAACTGACTACAGGTAGCAAATCATGGCTGATTTTTTCAGGCCGATACAATCATTTCAATTATGTTTTACAATTAGCTTATAACTAACCAATATTAGAATACAATACTATTTTGTATAATAAATACAAAAATAAAGCAATAAAAACATCTATATGCTCTATATTAAATAATAATAATTGGAGCTTTAACAGTTACATTATGGGTATGTTTTTCGTAAGTGTTGCCTGGATCTGGATTACTTTACAGTAATTTCACAAGAGCCAGCTAACACAATAACAGAAGAGTCATCAGCACAGTCTTCTATTCAGTATTAATGGCGAGTGTGTGTCTTTGGCAAGAGAGCATTCTGTTTACAAGCAGAACTGGAGGAGAAAGAGGGCGAGAGAAAGAGAGATGGAGAGAGAGTGTGTGAGAGAAAATGTGGCATAAACCAAGCAGAAGGCCATGAAGGACTGGGGTCCTTAACAAGGACTGGGATTCATCCAATGCCCCTTGGGAGTGTCTTCTTCAGCTCACTTCTAATTTATACCCATACAAATAACTTGGCTTCGATTAATAACTGAATCACAAGGCAAAAAAATACAGAGCTTTTGCCAAGAGCAGGGTTTATGTGTGTGTGTGTGTGAGAGAGAGCATTTCTCCTGCGCCTCAGCATGTTTGGGCAGATAGACTGTGGAGGAGAAGGGCATTAATCGTAAAGGGCTGCAGGAGTGTGGGCTAAAGTTGCTGGCCATAATACTGTCTTGTCTGAATCATCACCCCCTCCCCCCCTCCCCCCCCCTCCCCTTCAAGTCCGGAGCAGGGCGGGTGTCTAGTTTTCCATTCTAATGTGGCCTGACATTCAAAAAGAAGCATCATTCCTTCCTCTGTGCTGATGAGAGTACATTAGGGCAGGGACAATTTAGTAGGGGATAAATAAGGGCATCTGTGACTGTATCTGTAATGCCTTTAGATTAATAAAGCAACAATATAGAAACTCACACTACTCCGATACTACAGTGTTCACACTACAGTTCCAATTAAAAATTATTCATGCTGAAAAGAGGCATTAAAATTAAAATGGGGAAACATAGAAGAAAACCCCCCTGATATTATCTAGTTCCAGTATTGGCCTGGTACAATGTAATCGTTTTTTAAATTATTATGATTTATTTGTATAGCAGTTTTCATAATACACATCGTTTCAAATCAGTGTTACAAAGAACAGTGTCTTGCAAACCTACCAAGGGGGAGCAAATAAATGTAGTGTTCAGTTTAATTTGAACATGCAGATGCAATCCAGTTTCAATTTGAGAAATGGCTATTATAAGCTGACACCAATATGGTCACTAACATATTATCAATTTCTATTTTCAACATCTATTTAAATTGTATTTATTAAATGTGATTCAACAATGCATTCTTGAAGTTTTGCTAAGGCAATTAAAAAGTGAGTCATGAGACACTCATAAATGAATTCTAGTGTGAAATCTATCTATCTATCTATCTATCTATCTATCTATCTATCTATCTATCTATCTATCTATCTATCTATCTATCTATCTATCTATCTATCTATCTATCTATCTATCTATCTATCTATCTATCTATCTATCTATCTATCATAAAACATTCTGGTATCTTGAACCCTTGCTCTTCTTCAATGAGCCTTAGCAAAAATATGGCAAGAAATAAAATGAGGAAGACCTGAGAGGCGCTGGCAAGACATTGATAGAGTGAAGAGTTTGAGTACGGTTTACCAAATGAATTATTTTACCGGTCTCCTTCGAAACATATTCCCCACATTTGAAAGAGGAAATGATTGCATATCTGGAGTAAATGTACTCTGTGAAAATGGATAAATTCAACTGGATGAGACACCGGAGAGAATGAGGCGTAATTTCTGTCCTGAAAAATGAGAAACGGATGATGTTAGAAGGGACACGAAAGATGGAGTGCTGGAGAGACACAGCACATCACCGGTGGAGGTTGAGGAGAGAGAAGAAATCAGTGAGTCAGAGGCTGAAGAAAGGCGAGATGGTTTCAGTTATGACCAGCACTGCTAGCTGTAAAGGACAAGCTATTTGGGAAATGGGTTTGGGAATGGAAACTAACACACAAACAAGAGGTAAAAGGGAAGCCATACCTGGGAACTGAGCAGCTCCTGTGTGAAAGGGGGAGAGGGAAAAAGAAGAAAAAATAATTAGAAGGACGCCATTCACCAATATATCCCCAAAGTGTCATGTAGCCAGAGGGGGGGAAAAAGGCACATTTAAAATGTTTGAAAATGTTCAATGTTTGAAAATGTTGAGAAAAAATAAATAAATCATATAAATCATATTTCATAATCAAATTTCAAAATCATAACAATGTGGGATCAAACGTTTGTTTGTTTTAGCCACATCGATAGTACAATCTGACTGAATAATCACTTCATGGCATACCTTCAACAGCCATTAAAAACAGCACAAACCTCATGAATATAACAATAACTAACAAAGAAAGGAGAAACTCATCGTCAGGTCCCTTGTGGAACATTACTTTAACACATTCAGTGCTTCCTCTTGATGTTGCGTGCTGTGAAACTTCATTAATTGTAACATGTCAACAGCACCTGGTCTTGAGCTCATCTATCTGCAGCTAAGGCCCCAAATCAGAAGCTTAGCTAATGCACCGCCTCTGGTACCCACATAACAGTTTTAAAAAGCACTTAGAGCTGACATGGCTTTATGAAACTGTGCAATGAGTCAGAGTCTGATTAGAAAAACAATTTTCTTATTAGCATTTTCACCAAATTTTCATCTTAGCTAATGTGCTAATTAGCATTCCACTTTTGGGACTCAACGCAAAGCCATTGAAGATGGATATTTGTGCCTCAGCTTTGCTCAGAGCATCTGCATGTCAATTGAATTTAAACAACATTAGAGAGAGTACACAGAAATCCATGCAAATATCCATGGGTGACCACGGCATAAATCATCTCTCAGTACCAAACAAAACTTTTCAAACCCAGCCGCTTGCAACAAGAGCCCCGAGGCAAGTGCTAAATAAACCTCACAGAGCTTTGCATAGGTCTATAAAACAAGCTTGTGCCCACCAGGCTTCCTTCGTCAAGCATAAAGACCACCCAGGGCTGGCTATGGCTGGAAACTAGCCGGGTCTCTTCTTTATGATTTGTTGCATGATTTGGTTGAGAGCAATAGGGGACCAGGGGCCACCCTCGAACTCAGACCCCTGGAACACAGGCCAGACAAATAGGGTTATCCATGTTAAGTAAATGTCAGCCGTCAGAATAACTCTGCATTGACTTTCCAGCCCTAGGCTTTGCTGGGCCCCTGACCGGAGAGCTAAGGGACCGCCCAGTCCGTGTCACACTCTCTCCCCGTCTCTTCAGGTGAGGTTAAAATCCCTGACCAGTGCAATGCATTAAACATGAGTTATCCCACTTGAGAGACGCTCCCTACTCCAAAATGATAGGGACATTAACTTTGGGGTCAGCATGCATGAGCTGCATTAATGAACCCTTGTGTCTCACTTCACATGCACACCAACCTGAGAGCACTTCACATAGTCAAAAGCCCGAAAGCAAGGCATGTTTAAAAATATGCAGTCATAACTGGGAATTTATGGATACAGAAAGAGAGTGAGATTCATATAAACATCTTTATATAATATATCATATAATATAAAACATTTTTTTTATAAAAGTAGTTCCGCCACAGATTCAAGTCAACAGTTTAACAGTGGAGCCAAGCCTCCGATACTAATAAAAAAAACATCATTTTAGAACTAGTAACGAAGGAAAGCTGAGTTGCTTCATTGAAGTTTATTGTATTATGTAGAGTAGAGTATTATGAGAGCGAGAGATCGACTAAGTGAGTCTATTACCTGCATCTGATATTCTACAGGTCAATCTTATACACATAAGAAAATCAGTTTGAATGTCCGCTGAGGAAAGCCATATCTTTGTCTTAGTATCCTTTTAACAGTTAAGATGATTCCCCATGACGGCGCTAGTCAATTCATTTGTCAGTAGCATCTTATATGGTGTTTTTTAAAGTAAAAGATAACGTCCTGGTTTACAATCTTGTTTCAGTCCCTTTTAATATAAAAGTATTTGCTACTGACTCACTCATAAAGACAGTCTTTGCATGCAATCCAATGGCATAATGTAACTTTCACTGAAGTCGAAATCACAATCACTAACGGACCCTTTCTTAATACCAAATATGGCATGTTATTTATATAAAATTAAATATTTATTGAACAATAATATTTCAATAATTGATAATAGCCATTATAAAAGTATAAGAAGTTTGTACAATAGGAAATAAACACAAGCAAACAAAAGTACAAAAGCAGCGCTCTAGTTATAGTATATGATTTAAGTTAAATATGTATAAGTTATGAAACTTAACTTTGCCCTTAGCCAAATCGATTTCATCTGGAAGAAGTAATAGAACAATAAGTGCAAAGATCGCCCATTTGATATACCCAAAATTATTATACCTTATTTTTACACAAGTAGTCAGTGGCAAATTCCCGAAGGACCGGCCGAAGATAAAGCTGTTGGCGGGTACATGAGTCCTGAACGGCCACTGACGGCCTAGAGCTTGAATCACCGAAAACGAAGCACATATTAAATAGGCTCTATCTTTATAAATAAACCACATATTTAAAGTTAACAACTACATTCTCGCCAAAAAATCTCTTAAAACTACATTCCGTGACACAACAACAGTACAATTTGTAAGATTATGATGGGTTTGCTCGTCTGCCATGCCACTCGTTAAAGCACAATTATCTTTAATCTGCATATATGAACATGAAAAAAGCTTTTTCCAGCTAAAAATGTCACTGGACAAAAACCCTTGGATTCACAGACTTCAAAGTCAGTGGCAAAGTGCAAGCGTTTCTAAGGATCAAGTCTTTGTCCTATCAGTCTGCTTTAGTCAGAGAGGATTGAAGTGTGTGTACCTGAGCCATAATAGGGAGGGATTTATTGTCTGTCTGCCGGGCGGTGATTAGACACCACTGCTGCCACTCTGATAAGCCTCACTGATGGGAATAGACACTCCAGTGTCCTAAAACCACCTTGGAGGAGCCAGAGAGAGAGGTCACATCTGGCGGCTCCCACCATCCGCCTCTGACTTTGAAGAGACTTTTGAGGTTTTCTTAAACTTTGGGGACACTAACTTCTTCAGAGGAGTGAGTCTCATTAAGCAAAAAAAAGAAAAAAGGAATTATAGCCCTGATATTTTAGAATTCAAGATCCAGCACAGGTCTGTTTTCACAGATTTATTCCCTTCTGCTTTGGGGAACCCAGCATTGCTTTCTGACATTACACAGAACATTCATGAGACGATTCAATGTGGGCAGCCAGAAATGTGCGCCAGCTAACCTGCTATGAACAGTTTGATATTTTCAAAAATCCTTTAAAAAGTACCCTGCTGAATTTCCATGCTGGTCAGCACAGCCACGATAACTCAAGGATGTCCAAAACTACATTTTCAAAATTGACATCTAAAAGCACAGCACATTAATTAAAGAATTGTTACCAAAAAAAAAAAAAAAAAAATCAAAAATACCCCATGTAAAACAATAATTAATAGTAATAGCAATAATATTAAAAAATAATACTACATTTACCGTTCAAAGGTTTACAGGATTAAATGACTATAAACTCATTATTGTCAAGATTAAAAAAATAAAAATAAATAAATAAAGAATAATATTGATCTGGGTTAATGTGAATATCTACAAATACTTTATTTTTTAACCCTTCAAGATGTATAATTTAGCTTAAATCTATATTTTATAAATGAATATGAATTATATACACTTCCGTTCAAAAGTTTGGGGTCAGTGAGATGTTTTTTTTTTAAAGAAATGAATACTGTTATTCAGTGAGGATGCATTAAATGATCATATGTTTGAACTGTGATAATAACAAATGATTTCTGAAGGATCATGTGACATTGAAGACTGGAGTAAAGGCAGCTTTGCTATAACACACAGTAAATTTCATTTTAAAATATATTAAAATAGAAAACAGTTACTTAAAATTTTAATAACACTTCACAATTTTACCATTTTACTGCATTTTTAAACAAACAAATGCAGCCTTTCTTTTAAAAACATTTAAAAAAAAAGATATTATCGACCCAATACTTTTGAACGGTAAAAGTCAAGCCAGGATATGTCTTTCAGGAGTGGACATGTCATCAGGCCCTGGATGTTAAGGGATTCTGGGCACTGATGGAATACTGTGAGCAGATGTACAGTACATACCCACAGACATGTAACTTCCAGCCTGACCTGCTGAGCCTTCATGTAATTAAAAGGTTAGGAGAGCAGAGTCATATTTTCATCTCAAAAGGGAATTGATGGAAAGGGCAGGGTTGTGTGGCCTAGCACGATCCACACAACACACAGATTGACCTTCACATCCATGCCTTTCTGAAAAGCATGCCGAAGAGACCATTGAACACCTCAATGCCACACACAACAGGGGAACAAGGATTGTGATGTTATCTTTTTTATATAAAAAACAGTACAATTGGAATCTGATTAGAAATCCTTGAAAAGAGGTGACATTTACATTGGTCATACTTTTGGCAAAGCTCATCCTAGCAGCAAGGTAAAAAGAACAGGAGGAGGACAATGATAAGACCTGCTGAATACCAACAATATTCCTATTAGATGTTCAAAAGCGGATCTGAATGTTACAGTCAGTGGGTGAAAATAGCTTCAGACGAAAGTCATCAGGTGTTTGGGGACAGAAGGGGGCGAGACAGAGAACTGATACAGCAAAGGGACAGTTGGGGTGGTCACAGACGAGACTTAGAGACCAGAAAGGGAATGCTACCATTAATTTTGAATGAGAGGCACAGATCTGCAGTAATTGCTATCTGATAGCACACCCAGCAGCTCTTCAATCTCAAGCCATATCTCTGTGGGATCACCTGAGGTAAAGTGACCCCCTCATAACTTAGAAGTCACTGCATTTACGAAGGACCACATCAAATCACAACAAAAAGCTTTGACGCCATCTATATGCTAGTGTACTCAGTGGAAAACAGATCAAAAATATTGCCGACTCATGATGCATTACACTAATTTTCATCCAATCAAATGCTCTCTGGAATGAGCAAATGTGAAGCA